GCTAACAAGGAGTGTCCTTTTGGTGTCATCGGCAAAAAGATTCGAGACCCCGCTCATTCGATAGAGAATTGAATTCGGAACAAGACTGTGTTGTTCATTTATGCGGAATGGCTGTCCCTAATTTTATAAACTTAAAAAACTGCCGGCGCCGCCCATGCATTGGTGCTTGGGGAGCGAGTTGTTAAGGTTTCGCGCTTGGTTTTTTAATTCTATAAAATCAGGGACAACCATTCCGCAAAAATTCAATTCTCTATCGAATGAGCGGGGTCTCGAATCGTTTTGCCGATGACACCAAAAGGACACTCCTTGTAAGACCGCAATTTTTAATTGATCGAAAGAGCACAGTCGTCTTCAATTTCACCTCCGGCTCCCTATTGTAGATTTTTAGCCCAAAAATCAAACGACCACGTTTTCGCGGAAGTTTTTTTGCCCGGAAAATGTTACACTGCGCCCCGGAGCGGCCTTGGGCTCCGTTCAAAACAGGGCACTCGGATTGTCGAAAAGATACGGCGAACGGTGCAGGGGCCGCGTTTTTCCGCTCTTCCCCCCTTTTCCGGAACCGTTTTTTCGCGGTCACCAGGAAGTGGGTATAAAAAGGGTCCGCGTGGCCGGTGGGTGGTCCATTGGTTCTCGAAACAATGTCGCTGATCGTCAAGCTCGTCGCCCTGGCTCTGGTCTGCCAGATTGCGCTCGCCATCAAGTGCGACGACAACAACGTGGGTTTTATGGAAGGATACTGTGGTTTAGAGGAAGTGATTTTGTAAATTACAATCGATACGGGAAGATACGTTAAGACACGTTTTGTCAGATTCATTTTTTAGCAAAAAAGAGAGCCGCACCAACTATGCAACTGAACGATTTAGAAGCAAGATAACAATTTTTAGAAAGTTTACAAGCAAAATTACAAAATTACAAAACTGTATAAAATTTACAAACTTCCAAAGCTAGCGAAAAATGTAATTTCAATTTTTCATAAGTAAAAGTAAGATTTAGAGCATAAAAACCGGCATCCAAACCCACAAAACCCCGAATTTTAGGGAGGAAAGGTCGACTGCGGCGCCGGATGCAACTTCTGCCAATCCGTCGTCAGCCCGTGGGTTTTATATTGACAAAATTTTGTCGTTTTACCTCGAATAAGGAGACGTTTTGAGTGACAATCGAGTAGTTCGCACCCGGGACCAAGCTTATATTGTGCAGAATTTTTGTCGATTCCGAATATGATTTCAAAATCCATTAAACGATCAGATTAAAGAAGTTCCGAGGGGTTAAATGGCAAGAATTTCTCGTAATACAACCATTTTTGATCTCTTTCGCACTGAAAAGCTCTCTAGTTTTTCTAGAACTGGTCGTTTTGCAGATTCTGAAAACAGATTAGGAATCAGCGCAAAATTCTGCACAAGATAAGCTTAGTCCCAAGTGGAAAATACCCAATTGTGGGGAAAAAGTCTCCTTGTAAACCGAGCGAAGAAAGTCTATGTGTAAGCCTAGGCAGGATAGGCTCGACTCTTACAATTTTCATGCTAAGTATGAAATAATTAAAAGTACTTGAAAATATGACAACTAACCTTGCAAAAATCCACATTCTGACCCCCAAATTTTCTAGCGTCGGCCCGGAATTCCACGCTGGATGCGGCTGCGGTGACCAGTCCCTCCTGAAGGCCCAGAAGAAGTTCAAGTTCTCCGATTGCACGGTGGGTTGCTGACCCTGATTCTGGAGCTCAGGAATTTTAGGCCGAAGGAGAGACGTCCAACGATCAGAACCAGAAGCGCTGCTGCACCAAGAAAGACCGTTGCGACCTCGGAATCAGCTTGTAAAAAACGGACCGGATGCAATCAAACAATAAAAAAGCGAATACTAGATATACAATTATTCAACAGCACAGGACAACAATAACGAGAGGAAAATCGAGTGGGTAGCTAGCAGAGATGCTTGAGGATCAACTATCGCGACTTTTACATTGTTGATCTCGATTTAAGAGTAAAAAAATGCACGACGGGCGAATTTGAGCACTGTGATTAAGTTTATCGATCTCTTTCCCGTTATGTATTTGTTTAGGTCTCTTGAGTTTTTGTTTTGTCATCCCAAAAAATCGCACCCTCATAAATCCCCAGCAGCTGCTCCGTGTTTTCCTCTTTTCGCGGGGCTCAGGGTCGCCCGGGTGAAGTGATATAAAGGAAAAATCGACCGCTGCCTTTTACTCATTTTCAATTACGAAAAATGAAGCTGTTGCTATCGATTCTTCTTGTTATTCCAATCGTGCAATTTACCTGGGCTATCAACTGCCGAGACACCACTGAAGGGGTCAGTTTAAATTAAATCCAAGGATTTTAAGAAACGCTTTAGAACGCTGTCCTCGATTGCTCGGACTGCATGTTTTGCCAGACGTTGAACGCGTAAGTCATATTCTTAAAATTAGTATCATACTTATTATTCGATAAATTTTTTTACAAAAATTGATAGTTCTAAACCCCTTAATTTTTACAAACCATTGTTTTTTGCGTCGCATCCTTTTTTGCGTCTTTAAAAGGTTTTTCGAGCTGCCATTGCATAGCGGTCATATTCCCATTTTTATGTATGAACTGCTCTGCTCCCTATTTTTGCCCATTCCAATTTCTGTCGGACTGCCATTCAATTCCGTGGCGATCCGGATTTCAATCTCTGCGTCACGCTCTATCTAGCCGTTCATCTGCACGTCGTTTTGTGCGTTAGCAGCTCGGCATTCCTTGTCTTTTTCCCTGTTTTTCAATTTCAGGATGTCTATCTGTCTGTTTGTGTCTGTTCTGTCCGTGTCTGTCTCTCTCGCGGTTTGTGTGTATGTATGTCTTGATGTCGGTTGTACGTCATTCGGTCTATTCGATCTTCTGTCTATTTGTCTGTCTGTCTGTCTGTCTCTCTCCCTCTCTCTCTCTCTCTTCTCGCTGTTTGTGTGTATGTATGTCTTGATGTCGGTTGTACGTCAGTCGGTCTATTCGATCTTCTGTCTGTTTGTCTGTCTGTCTCTCTGTCTGTCTCTCTCTCTCGCTGTTTCTGTGTCTGTATGTCTTGATGTCGCTTGTATGTCAATCGGTCTATTCGGTCTTCTGTATGTCTGTGTGTCTGTCTGTGTGTTCGCTATCTGTTAGCTGCGGGATTAGATTACCTGAAGTAATCGAGTCATTGGCACGATCGAACCTTGGGGTTATCGTCATAAAAAAATATACCATTAATGCGCCAGGTTTTGGCCTGGAGCCAAGTCCATTTTTAGTGACGGCAAAACGCACACCGGATGTGGCTGCGGCGTTCAGTCCCTTCTAGACAAGCAGACGAAGTTCAAGTTCGACTCGTGTGACGTAGGAAACAATTCAAAAATCGAAAAAGCACAAGGTTTAGGAGGAAGGCCAGACCACCAACGACAAGGGACAAATCCGCAGATGTTGCACTGATGAGATTTGCCACCTATTGCCCAGTAAAATCACTACCCAGGCGCCGGTTCCGGCAAAAAGACCCAGTGATCGTCTACATTTTCCGACCAGCCGCCCTGCGCTTGATGTGATTATTCCACCAACAAAGAGAACTTCACAGGATTTGCCTTAATTCGGAGAAGGGCTAGAATAGCAATAAAGCACTTTGCGAGATACACCACGTTGTCGGCCTTCAATTTCATGTCGAGGTTGTGCGGTCACAGACTTCAAATCGGCTCAAAATTGGTGGAACAAATCAAATAAAATCCGGGGGAACACGATGCTATAAAAATTAGGTGCTAATGGGCACTTTAGTTTATAAACTTTTCAGTTTAAATTTTTGTACCTTACAAATACACCTAAAACAAAAAACTAGCCTTAAAAAAGCTGATACCGACCTCCATGGTATAACTACCATCGTAGAGGTATTCCCTTTCCGAATCGTCCTGGCATTTTGTCTCCCCGGCATTCAGACGTTCGTTGCGATTCTGGACAAAATCATACATTAAAGTCTAGATACCTAATTCAGAGGAAAAACGTGATCTCAAAAGTCTCAATAGGTGGGTCTCAAAACAAAAAAAAACGGTTTAATTCTATAAACACTCACCGCCCTCATGCTCAACGCAATCGCACTCCCCGGCTGGATACTGTAGCCAAAAGTGTCCGGAAATGGATAGGCGTCCTGAAAGTAATTTATTAACCAGGTTTCTAGAGGAATTAACCGACTTTAATCAAGGTACAAAGCAACCTTTTTCAAAAATTTAGCCCTACTTGATCATGAATCGCTATCCGGCACCCAATCGATGTGGTCGCCTCAATATATTCCGAAATATTCGTATAGAGCAACATTTTCAAGCCTAAATATATACTTTGGTTTTACAGCGTCATTTGGTGTGTACCGTAGTTCGGGCCCGACCTCGTCACCTTCGAGGCTTCCCCGTGAAAGTTGAAAACGTAGCAAAGCCCGTAGCTGGGGTGGAAAACACTGGTGAAATTCCTAAAAGACGACAACTTTTCTCAAGAAAAAAAAATGTATTTTCCAACACGCTACTATAACTACGACTCACTCCTGTGTACACGTGGCTGCATTATACGCACAATTCTTGACCAAAGTGGCGAAGGAAATGGCTTTCTAAATCGCGGCTTTTCGTTGGAAACTTGGATGGCTTGTACCTCTTCAAAATGTCCGCCCTCTCTGCTCATCGCCATATAATAGGAGATCAGCCACTCCAGCCGAGACTGCTGCTCCATTGCATCGTCTTCGCCCTAGGTAGAGTGTACGTTGTAGACTACCGTACTTACCGATAGCCCGTAAAGTATCCTGGCCTGTTCGGCTAGCCTTGGATTATCGATTGTACCCGTTGAAACGTAGTAAGAGGACATCTAAATATGGATGAATCGAAAATATACATTGATTTTTAAATAATAATTTGATATAATTACTATTTCTCATAAATAAATAACAAAAAAATTTTAAGAGCAACGCATATCATTATTTACAATTTGCTTAATCTGCGGATCGTCCATCGTCGCGGAATTTAACATTGGATTTATCGAGCATATCGTAACGGCCGGGAAAATGAGATTCCCGAAATTTAACTAAAAATATGGATTTTACAGCAGCACAACAAATATACGTTTAACGGCAGTATAACCTACAGTAATACTTGTCTGCTTGGCAAACGAAGTATAACGTTGCGCCAAAACTTGCAAATTCCAGCACAGAAAGGCGAAGCAGCTCGAAAATTAATATTTTGAAGTGCGATTTCAACTTAATATGATGCTTACAATAAGTATCAAAGCCCACGCCAGTTTTCGTGGCAGAGAATTCTCCGATTTCACGACCTGATGAATGCCGTGGATCGAACAAGTCGCTGCATACTCTTTGAATTGTTTCTAAACTCGACGAATAAGCTTTTCTAAACGTTATTACTTGGATATTACGTAGTTTTTCGAGGATTTCCAGTCTAGATAGCATAGTTAATACCAGTATACTAACCAGATATTCAGGATCCGCAGGACGGGGGCCTAGCCCCTAGGTAAATCTAATTGGTATGCTTGCGTGCTGGATGATTTACTGCACTATGGTTCCACTTGTAGATATTTCGTGGTTATATAGTAGATAAAAGGTTTGAAAAGCTGGTAATCGAATGTGAACCACCATATAAACAAAAATAATTATTATTTCCAATGAACGAAAGATGATAGCCGGCTTTACTTGTTTAGCCTATCCCTGCCTAACAGGGACGTAGCGTAATACAGGCCCCGGGGGCTGGGCCCCCAAAATCGGTCGGGGCCCGAAAATTTCATAGAGGGGGACCGCACTTATGTTTTATTTTCTCAAAATTTTGCTGCCTGCGGCGCTATTTTTTCACGTTTTTACGGCTATTTGTAGAGCTATGCAACCTTGTTTTCAAAAATTTTTGCCTGCGGCGCTGTTTTTTCGGTAATGTTTTGAGTTTTTGGAAAATTTTTTGAGGCCCCCGAAATTTTTTTCTGGCTACGTCCCTGCTGCCTAATAAAATGTAGCGTATTTTCCACGGTTTTTAGCTGTTATGCAGTATGATGCTTAAAAAAGTCTAGTGATACACAAAAATTAGACCATTTCTTAGCCTTTTGTGATTATTTTTTGATGGATTTTTGACTAGAAAGTCAGTAATTTCCAATATCATTGGCTGTTTGTTATATCAAAAAAAAAATGGCTAAATGTTCTCAGATCCGTCTTTCGTTCATGGTTGGGCGGCTAGGTGAAATCCTGGATTTGATTTTATTTTTACTCTTTTTTCAGGAATTCGGTGCATTTGCTTAAATTATTACTTATGGCTGCAAAGTGCGTGTACCTACTACAAACCCACATTTGTGGTATACGTACACCCTGAGCTCCAATTTATCAAACAAGTTTCACTTTTGATTTATTGCCATTTCAACGCCATTTCCCGCCCACATGTTCGGCAGACTACTTTTCCCAAGGCAGATCATCACCGCGTGACCTTTACCCACCAGGATGTGTCTCCATGCAGGGGATCACAATTTCCTTTTGCCATCGTGGAACATCCGGCTGCACGCTCTCGCCGACCCTATGCTTTTTGGTGTGTGTTGTCCGGGTTTTGTGTTCGTCCCCACCTCGGCGGCACCCTACGGTCATACATGCAGAGGGCGCGCCCTATAGCTGACCACCCCGGATTGCCGGCGCCACGTAAAAATTTCGATCTCGTTTGGCCACGCAATTTGGCAGCCGCCGGTTTTTTGCTTCCGCTTTGAAAAACTGTAGGAAAGATGTTGGCATTTAATACCTCTGTTTTTAAAGTATCTTTGATTCACTAGAACTTTTTTATTACACCGTTATAAGTTTAATTTTTCAGCCGCTAAGATTAGTAAACTTTTATTTTTATCGATTTGAAATTCAACTAATAACATGAAGGCTCATTTTTGCTATCGCTTCTAAAAAATATGGAAAAGACGTTGAAATCCTTCGGCGAAAAGGCGTGTTTCGTAGCCACTTGAAATATCTATCATTTTATTACTCGGTTAGTAAAGCGCCCGCGGGCACGCCGGAAGTACGCCCGCGGGCACCGCTCCGAGCGCCCTCCTGGGGCGCACTGGCTCGCGCCCGCGGGCGCCCGAACCGACAGCGCCCGCGGGCGCGCCCTAATCGCGTTGTAACGGCGTAGGACGGGTTCTTGTAATGCTTTTATTATTTAATAAAAAGGGCACTACATCGCTTTTGTCGATGCTGTACCCTATACTTAATGTAGATCTTCACGTTCCCTGAGAAATTGTTTGTATTGCGCACCTGAAATATGTTTTTTTTGCTTTCTTGGCTTTAGCTTTGTTTGGAACTTACAGATACGTTCGAATGCGCGATAGACGGCCCCTTAAAGTGTAGCTAATTACCTAATTTCCTTTATACATTTCGTAATTCGCACTTACTTTCTTCCCGCTTCCTGAAAACTTGCTCTGATTTGCTTCTTGCCGACTTCCTTTGCAACTCCGCCGCAGAGATACCGCAAGCGTCGCGCTTTCCATTTGCAATGATGACCATGATCGTCTGAAAGGTTGGCTTATATAAATCGAGAATCTATAAATCTAAATCTAAACTATGTTTAAAGTTTTTTGTAGGGACTGGTTGCGTAGCAAAACTTTACCTTCTTTACCTGCGCCATGGCGCTTCAAAGTATCGCATTCTACATTCGACGTCCATAACCAAGCGAACCTAGTAACGTATTTGTTAATTGATATATGTTTTGAACATAAATAAGTGCATAATCCAGGAACTTAGCCGTTTTTTCGCAGAATTGAAAGGTGTTCACCATTCAAATGCGCCCGCGGGCGCGCCCCTAGTTGCGCCCATGGGCGCTTTTTGCGCGCCAGGGCGGTTTGCGCCCTTTTGCAAAAATTGCGCCCGGGGCGCAAAGAGTCCAGTTCGGGCGCGCTCGCGGGCGCTTTGGGTTTTCGGGCGCGCCCGCGGGCGCTTTGCTAACCGAGTAAAAACTCAAAAGCTTTTTTGACTTGTTATGACTATGGCTCATTTCGTTTCTTTTGCTTCCACGTTGAAGAAAACGTTGCAAAGACGGTGATCTTCGAATAGCTCTTGTCTCAAAGCTCCTTATAACTTATCAGTTTTTAATGCACGATTATAAGCTTACCTTTTAATTCGTTGGGATTAGAATCGTTGCTTTTTATTACAGTTTAAATTCCAGCGATCGACATGCGCGCTTGGGCAATTCTCCTACTCTTCTTCTGTGCATATGTTTTCGCTGATGAACCTCTCGATGTGAAGCCCCCGGAAGGGCAGATAAAAGTAAGTTTATCTTCATCTAAATCAATTTTGAATTTCCAGGAAAACGCCGATGATGCTCCCCAACAAATGGCGGCACCAACATTTGAAAGCAGCTCCAGCGATTCAGAAAAGGTATAGCTTTTCGATACTTTGGCTGAAAAAAAAATGATTTTTAGGCTGACCTTTCGTTCTACCACGGGTTCTTCGCCTCATTTTCTGTGATCATCGTCAGCGAGCTGGGCGACAAGGTATCGCTATCACGTTATAAATGTTTATCTCGTATTTTAGACATGGTTTATCGCTGTGATTATGTCTATGAAACATTCCCGACTCGCCGTCTTCAGTGGTGCCATTGCGGCCCTCGCTTTGATGACCGTGCTTTCTGGTAACCTTGTTTTCAAACAATTTTAATCATTTTTAGCGTGTATGGGATGGGTGACCGTGTTGATACCCCGGTGGATCACCTACTACATTTCTACCGCGCTTTTCGCTCTCTTCGGATTAAAGGTTGGGTGGAATTTCCAGTCCCAAATCCTAATCCGTTTAGATGCTA